AAAGTAGTGACGAGCTAACACAAGGTCGGGTCCAATACCAATATCCCACAACAGTTCATAACAGCATAATACAAGTAATAAAAGATGTATCTCAGAAGTAAAATGCTCAGCTTGTTCACAGTTCCAGAAAATAGTCATGCTTTTCAAATATCTTAGTGAAAACCCAAATCTTTTACCGAAGATGCCAAAAATACGAGTAAGTTTGAAAACTGTAATTTTTCCAAATATCCTTTCCACAATAAATAAGATGTTTCATTTTCTTTCCAGATAGCAAGTGTGAAATACCTCTCTATGTCCACATTCAATGTGTGTAGAAAACAAAGTCATGAATGACGTGATACCATACAACATGAGGAAAAATGCATCTCTATGCCGGTATGTCATGTGTGCATGCCAATGCCATGTATCTTAGAGATGAATCATGTATTCGCACTCTCAGAGTACTTAATCTCATTGTCTCACACTTTCCATTCATCATGCTCAACCACTCGGTACTGTATATGGCCCGTACGGCCCAGGGAATATATACATCACTGACCATCAGCCACTCAGTACCGAGGAAGGCCAATCCGGCCCCATGGAGAAGATCTATCTCCAGGTATATAAATGCTTCAGACAAGATCCATGTCCCTAGAAGATCCATCCCTCAATATAATCAATCGCGCTCACTGGGGGTGTGCAGACTCCGGAGGGGCTCCTACAGCCCAAGCGCTATCATAAGCCAGATTCAGGCATAAATCAATATAACATGCTGCGGCGTGCAGCCCGATCCCATAAGTGTCACTCATAATCAGGCTCTCGGCCTCACTCAGTCATCAATCTCTCCAGTCTCACTCACGGGCTCACAATGTCATGAAACTAGCCCGACAATAATGATATGATGTATCAGTAAATAACAACTGAGATATAATATGAATGCATGAATATGACTGAGTACGAAATATCAATGAAATCAGTGAGATGACAATAAGAAACGGCCACTATGGGTCCCAACAGTATCGACATAAAGCCTAAATATGATCTCTAGCATGATTGACAGCTCAATTACTTTATCACATGGTGAAAACCGGGATATCAACAAAATAGGGCCACTATTCAGTGCCATGGAAACAACGGAGTTCCAATTTACATGCACGCCCACACGCCCGTCACCTAGCATATGCATCACCTCAATACCAATCACATAACACATATTACGGGGTTTCATACCCTCAACTCTAAGTTTAGAAGAGTTACATACCTCGAACAAGCCAATTCCAACACCGAGCAAGCCAAGCGATGCTCCAAAATGCCATCCCGCGCGTTCCGACCTCCGAGCGGCTCGAAACTAACAAAAAACAACTCAAGTACATCTAACAATGCTAAAGGAACCAATCCCGATCGAAAAAGATCAAATCTTGAATCAAAAGCCCAAAACTGGCCAAAAGCCCAACCTGGGCCCGCACCTCGGAACTCGACAAAATTTACAAAATCCAACAACCCATTCAATTGCGAGTCCAACCATACTAGTTTCACTCAGATCCGACTCCAATTCAATGTTCAAAACTCAAAAATTCATATTATGAAACTTTAGGCCAAAACCCCTAATTTCCTCTTTAAAATTCACAATCCAATTACCAAAAACGAAGATAGATTAAGGAAATATAACCAAAATCGAGTAGAGAACACTTATCCCAATTCATATGGTGAAAATTGCTTCAAGAATTGCCTCAATCCGAGCTTCATAGCTCCCAAAATGAAGAAAGAACCAAAACCTTGATAATATAGCCTCTGCCCGCGATTCCGCATTTGCGGACAATTCGTCGCATCTGCGACTACTGCTTTTGCGGAAAAACATCGCATCTGCGAAAAATGGCCTTGCCCAGCAACCCCCGCACCTGCTGTATCAAACTCCGCATCTGCGAAGACACTCGCACCTGCGTTTCCACTCGACGCACTTGCGCCCTTTTCTCCCCTTCTGCGGGCCTCCTCATCCAGCTCTCATCTCGCATCTGCGACGCCTTTGTCGCTTCTGCGGCCATCGCACCTGCGCAAACTAACCGCAGGTGCGATCATACCAGAACCAGCAGCCTTCAGCAATGCAACATGAAGTGAAAATGATCCGAACCTCGTCCAAAACTCATCCGAGCCACTCGGGACCCCGTCCGAATATACCAACAAGTTCCATAACGCAATACGGACCTACTCAAGGCCTCAAAACACACATAACAACATAAAAACGGCGAATCACACCTCAAATCGAAATCTATGAATTTCGAACTTTCAAATTCAATAACTCGTGCCGAAACATAGCAAATCAATCCGGAATGACTTCAAATTTTGCACACAAGTCACATTCGACATTACGGACCTGCTCCAACTTCCTAAATCGGAATCCGACCCCGATATCAAAAAGTCCACTCCCGGTCAAACTTTGCAAAATTTCAACTTCCGCCATTTCGAGCCAAATTCAACCACGAACCTCCAAATCACAATCCGGACGTGTTCCTAAGTTTAAAATCACCCAACGGAGCTAACAAAACCATCAAAATTCCAATCCGCTAGCTTCGGCCATGACTTCACAATCCACAACTATGAAACAATCTGCTCCTGAAAGCTCCCGGTTTCCAAATCCATAAAACACACGAATCACCATTTCTGATTCCATCTCCACCGCCCAAATGTCTAACACATCTCTCATACACGATCATCCCACGAGGAATACTTCTAAAATTCTTCCGTGCCATCTAGCAAAATTTGAACATCAGCAGTCAATCAACCAGGAGAGTGCCGCAATACCAATGAAGTATCCATAAATCAAACACATTGCCCTTTCTGAAATGTATACTATCATCAGGCCATACCGATTAGTAATATCAGTTACCTAGTCATCTGAAACCGTCCATGCTGCCTACAAATCTATGCCCTTCCCTTCCAAACTGACTTGTGACCTTGCACATGCAAATCTCAATCCCACACAACACCGCATCTACCATGCCATCCTGTGAAGAGTACAGGAGTCTCATAATCAACTCTGAGTTCCAAGCAGAATACATACCCGATAAGTCAGAAACCTTCCATTTGATTTCATCTGGGAGAAATTCACTATACACCACATGCTCCTCACGCCAGCAGGAAATATACCCCTCGAACCTTGGTAAAAACCATTGAGAACTCTTCGAAACCCATTTGCACGTAACCAAGCTATCTGAACCGAATCTCTCTAACTCAACCCAGCCACGCAGGTTGCCAAAACCCAAGAGCA